ACTGCACTCCAGTCTGGGCGACGGAGTGAGACTCCAACTCAAAAAAAAAAAAAAAAATTGTTGGAGCAAAGCACTGTAGAGAGAAGATTCACTTGGATATATCCATTTCTTGAGAGTCAACCTTTGGGGGCAGGGATCATTTGGAGCCTCAGATCTTGGATGTGAATAAGCCTGTTTTTTGGTAGGGGGAGTAAGCCGAACTATTTTTATTATTTATTTATTTATTTTTTGAGTAGGAGTCCCACTCTGTCGACCAGGCTGGAGTGCAGTGGAGTGCCTGGCATACTCGCGGCCACCACAGCCTCAACTTGCTGGGCTCAGGTGATCCTTCTGCCTCCGCCTTCCAAGTAGCTGGAACCACAGGCATGTGCCACCACACCCAGCTAGTTTTTTTGCTTTATTGTAGATACAAGGTCTCGCCAAGTTGCCCAGGCTGATAGGAACCCCTGGGCTCAGGCACTCCTCTCACCTCCACCTCTCAAAGTGCTGGATTGCAGGCATGATCCACCACACCTGGCTGACTGAACTATTTTTTTTTTAAGATGTGGAGCACAATTCAGGGTTAAGTATACAAATGTTCATTATGCAGCTACCCTTGTTGATGAGTTGTGCCCCCTCCCCGACAGTATGCCTCTACTGCCAATCCCGCACCCACTCCACAATTTTCCACTACTGCCAATCCTTTTCTTACAGTATTACGATAGTTGTTCAAGGTCCACTTATGAGTTGAGAACATGTGATACTCAGTTCTTTGTTTCTGTGATAGATCACTCAGTATTATAGACTCTAAGTCCATCCAAGTTACTGTGAAGTTCATAATTTTGTCCTTCTTTATGGCTCGTTTTTTTTTTTTTAGTTAGAGTCTCACTTTGTCGCCCTGGCTGGAGTACAGTGGCACGCTCACAGCCCCTGCAGCCTCGACCTGCTGGGCTCAGGTGATTCTTCCGCCTCAGCCTTCCAAGTAGCTGGAACCACAGGCATGCACCACCACGCCAGGATGACTTTTTGACTTATTGTAGAGATGAGGTTTTGCCAAGTTGCCCACACTGGTCTCGAACCCCTGGGCTCAGGTAATCCTCTTGCCTCCACCTCCCAAAGTACTGGGTTTACAGGAGTGAGCCACCGTGCCTAGTTGACTGAACTATTTTTAAAAGATGATGGCTTACATTGGAACGATTTGACCATTACTGAAGGAGGCAGGTGGTACTGCTATTTCTATCTGTTTTACACACTTGAGTAACAATAGAACTTGTTGGGTAGCAGAGAGGAAGAAAGGATTGGTGGTTGGGCTCAGTGGGAAGTTCTTGCATTAATAGAAGTCTAATGTGTTACTGGAAATAGTCATTTCCTTGTGGTGATTGGGGGAATTGTCCTTATGATGATGCTCACTGCTGGGTAATGGTGACACAGCCAAGTGTCACTGTTACCCAAAGGTGAGCAACACCGTATGGACAAATGGACGGTTCCGTTTTTACTGTCACGAAGAGATGCAATTGGATTAGGTCGCTTGGCTAAGAGGATAAGACTCTATTCAGGGGAGAGCTCTTGTGGAAGGATTCACTCCTCCCTGTGGGGGCTACAGGGTCAGGGGGCACTCATTGCAGGAAAGAGGTTGCACGGATCTTAACAGCTCATTCCTCTGGACATGACTGGAGAAGAGGGTCTTCTTGGGAGGGGGTCAAATTGGAAGGACATATTCTGCCAAGTGGGAGTATAAGTCTTTCTTGAGAAGAGGGGCGTCAGAAATGTCCATTCCCTGAGGTGGGGCTTCTGGGAAATTCCTATGTAAGAAACAGGCTTCCTCAGAATTGTCCGTTCCCTGGGGCAGGAATGATAATAGGCAAATGTAATGTAGGAGTTTATGTGGATTTGTCTATTCAGTGGAGTGGCTGGTAAGGAATAGGAGAGTCCATTGTAGAAAGGGGCCCATGCATTTTGGATCATTCCATCCCTTCAGAAAGGAATGGAAAGCAGGAGATTCTACCTTTAGATAGCGGTCAGACTAGAAAGCCCCATTTTTCTCGAGGGGCAGACAAGCAGATGTGCTGTGGGAAGACATCTCTTTAGACATTTTCATTCGTGGGGCAGGAGTGATGGGAGAGGGCAGTGTAGAAAGGTGATTCATGCATATCATGGCTTAGAGAACAGAAGGGTTTATTGTAGGAAGGGGGCAGATTGAGTGCTTCCATTTGTATAGAATGGAGACGAGAGTCCATTTTTAGGAAGAGGTCTTCTGCACTTGGTGGATGAAATGGATTGTTCCATTATAAAAAGAAGTTCTCCTTGAAAGCGTCTGTTTACAGGGGAGTTCTAGAAGAGTCCACTCTTCGGAGATCTTTTTGGTGATGTCCCTTTTTGGGATAGGAATATTGAGGGCACCCATGAAGGAAGGGGGAATATCTTTGGGATCCCCCAAAAGATGAGTGAGGGATATGTCTCCTTGGAAAGGAGGTCATCATGTGGTGGGAATAAATGAGGGAGTCCAATTAGAAAGGAAGTCTCTTTGGAGATATATGTTCATGGGGTGGAGAAATTGGAGGAACCATTTGTTCAAAGGGAGACCTATATAAAGATACCCACTCCTTGCTTTAGGAATATTGAGAAAAACTTTTTTGAGTTGGGGGTCTCACTCTATTGCTCAGGCTGGAGTGTAGTGGCATGATCATGACAATCACGGCATACTGCAGCCTCGACTTCCTGGACTCAGGCAATCCTTCCACCTCCATATCCTGACTACCTGGGACTATCGACATATATCATCATACTCAGCTTTTTTTTTTTTTTTGAGTTGGAATCTCACTCTGTCACCCAGGCTGGAATGCAGTGGCACACTCATGACCACTGCAGCCTCCATCTGCTGGGCTCAGGTGACCCTTTCGCCTCAGCCTTCCAGTAGCTAGAACTACAGGCACACGCAACTACACCCGGCTAATTTTTTGATTGTAGAGATAAGGTCTCGCCAAGTTGCCCAGAGTGGTCTCAAACTCAAGGCCTCAGGCAGTTCTTTCACCTCAGCCTCCCAAAGTGTTAGGATTATAGGTGTGAGTCATGCGTCTGGCTAGCTAATTTTTAAAAAAATGTTTGTAGAGATGAGATTTTGCTATGTTGCCCAGGCTAGTCTTTAACTCCTGGATTCAAATGATCCTCCCACCTCGGCCCTCTCAAAGTGTTGGGATCACAGGCGTGAGCCACCACATCTAGCCAAAAAAACTGTTATTGGAAGTGGGAATGGGCTTGGAAGTTTCCATCATGGGGGTGGGAGAGAATAATGGACAAACAGGGCCAGGGAGGGGAAATGGGAGGGTTCCTTGAATAAAGGTTTCCTTGGAAAGGTCCAGTCTTTGACGGTGAGGGTAACAGGACAGTCCATTTTAGGAACAGGTATGTCCTTGGAAGCACCCATTTCTTAGCTGGGTGTTATGGGAGAGTCCACTTTAGGAAGGGATTGCCTTGAAGAGTCCATTCAGAAGAGGTGAGAACATGGGAGAGTCCACTAAGAGAGATCTCCTCGAAAGATCTGTTCTTTGAGGGAATGAAATGGTAGAGTCCATGGCAAGAAAGAGTCTCCTTTTAAGTATTTGGTCTTTGGGATGGATGTTCTGGGACAGTTACCCTAGAAAGTGCCTTGAGGCTGGGCTTGGTGGCTCACGCCTGTAATTCCAGCACTTTGGGAGGCAGAGGTGAGAGCCCGGGCAACTCGGCGAGACTTCGTTTCTACAATAAATCAGAAAATTAGCTGGGCATGGTGGTGCACGCCTGTAGTTCCAGCTACTTGGAAGGCTGAGGCAGAAGGATCGCGGAAGGATTGCCAGAGCCCAGCAGGTGGAGGCTGTGGCGACCGTGAGCGTGCCGCTGCACTCCAGCCTGGGTGAGAGTGAGACTCCGACGCAAAAACAGAAAGTGCCTTGGGAGAGTCCACTCACTGGAGGTGGGGGTGCCTGGGGAGTCCTTTGGGACCCCAGGAGAGCTCCTTGGAAGCATTCTTTAAAGGAGGCGGGGGACGGGGAGCGTCCATTCCCCGCGGTGTCCTCAGTGCCCTTCGCCTTCCCTCCAGGACTTCGTGGTGTACGTGATGACGCGGGAGCAGCACGTGTTTGGCCGGGGCGGGAACTCGTCGGGCCGCGGCGGGTCCCCGGCCCCGTACGTGG